TAAGTTAGCTTTATTTTTTTATGTTTTTTTTTTCATATGCCTGTTTAATTTTTTTATTTACACAATAACCAAAACATATTTCATTATATAATATAAAATAAAATACATTGGCATCTCCCCTATTTTAATTTAATTACAAGTACCTCTATTCTACTTAATTATCAGGAAAACGCAATCACTAGTTTTTATAGTCTTATTAGATTTTACTTTTAATCTATATAATTTTTTATAGTATTTTTAGTCTCTATAATTTTAATAAAATTGGGTGACATTTATTTCTCTAATTTTTAACAATGTTAAATTACAAGGGTTATAAAAATTAGAAATGCTAAAAACAAATTATAGGGACCAATGAAACCTAATAAAAGTAAAACTAAATAAAACTATAATGATTAATGATTATGTTTTTTCTTAATTATTTTAAAATTCGTATGTAACTTTTCATTTCAAAGAATGCATATATATGTTTTAAAAATAAAATAGAGATATATGTAATTACGGTAAAATAAAGGAGATATTAGTTTATTTTACTCTATATAACATAACTAAATAGGATTTATATTTATAATTGAAATTTTTTTTTCAGAAAATGTAATCACATGGTGTCCAACTATGAACATTATATTATTTGAAAAGTACATGCTTATTATCTCATTAAAGATTTTAAATATTTATAGGAGTATTTTATTGTTAGTTTGATTAAAAAATGATGAAAAAAAATAGTTAAATATATTTTTGTTATTGAACCATTCAAAAAGTAATGGTGATGATGTGGAAATAAAGAATGCAATGTTCTCGATAGGTGTTTTAAAGCTCTGAGCCTTGATAATATACAAGGTCATTTTTTCTAGACACAATGGAAAGTGATATGAGTGAAGATTTGTAACTATGTCAACATATCTTCAAACAAGTGGAAAGAATTAGGGAGGTTAATGCAACAAATATTGTTCTCATTCGTAAAGTTGACCACCCTTCTTCATCGAAGGAATTTCGCCCAATCTTGCTTTGTAATATCAGCTTTAAGATAGTTATGAAAATATTGGCCAATAGATTTAAACATATCCTTAATTCCATTATTAGCCCCAGGTAGTGTAGTTTATAGAAGGGCACCAGGATAGTGATAATGTCATTATAGCTCATGAGACCATTCACATCATACGGAATAAAAGGAGTAGGAGGGCTCATATAATGGCAAAAGTTGATACGTAAAAAACATATGGTAAACTTGACTGAAAATTTATTGAGCATACACTCCAATCTTTAAGGCTATTTGATAGTTTTATTAACATCATCATGTCGCGTATCTCAATTGCTTCAATGAAATTTTTGTGGAATGGGGATGCCACTGATGCTTTCTCCCCCTCTAGGGGTTAAGACAGGGAGATCTCCTAAGCCCTTATATTTCTTGTGGTTTGCATGGAAAGATTAGGCTATATCATTAAAGATGAATGTGCTAAAGGTGCTTGGGCTCATACGTCAAGACATTAGCTATCTTATCTATTCTTTGCAGATGACCTCTTCCCATTTATGGAAGCCTTCACAGACCAGGTTGCCTTGGCTCGCAATGTTATGACTAAATTTTGCAACATGTCTAGTGATAAGATCAATCTCAACAAGTCTAAAATGTATTGTTCTCGGAATGTACATTTCAATAGAGAAATGGAACTCAGCTGAATTCTGGGAATTAGCCTTACTGTAGACTTGGGGAAGTATCTTGGAGTTCCACTCCTTCACTCTAGAGCTACAAAAGACACTTAGGCTCTATTTGGCAGGCGTCATTAGAGGGCAAGAATTAGGATTGGGTTTGAATAATATCACCTTTAACATGTTTGGGAGGAGTCATTCATCAATACTTGAGATTACTCGGTCTCACTTAGGTGGGAATACTAAAATTTACCCCACTTTGGTATTGCAAAATTAATCCTGAGATTGAAATTTTTATGAACAAAATACCCTCCTAAAAAATACCAAATCCAACTTGTCCTCTTTATCCGTGACCTCATTGCTTAGACAAGTTCATCACCACGGATGACTTCGGCAACGACTTCCTCACTTGCTGGCGATGACTTCCTCCCTTGCCTCCCTTGTCGGCAACAATGTCCTCTCTTGCCGGTGATGAGTTCCTTGACACTATATAAAAGGCGCTCACTTTCTCCTCTTCTCTGCGTTTAATTTTTTTCATTCTTCGCTAGCTTTGTAGGAGTTAATCAATCAGTGAAGTGGAACCATGCCAGTAAGTTGATCAGTGATCTCTATCCTTTGCTCTGTGTACCAAATTTTTTTCTTAGAATTGCTAGGTTGATTTTCTTGTATCACCTTGTTCCTCCCTTGTGTGACCACCGTTCCAGAACTATGCTACTTATTGATTTTGCTGAGTTTCAAAAACTTTGGGGGGGGGGGGGGAGGATGTTTTGTGGAGGAGGGACATGATGATATGAAAGGAAGAAGAAAGAAGACATGACTGTCTTTTTTCTTTCTTTTTTTTCGGTTGCAGGGCAATCATGGAGAAGGGAAGAGGATGAGGATAATCTTGTCTTTTGGTTGCATTTTTGGTTTGATTTGAGCCGGACTTTTTTTTTTTAATCCCATCACATACCAAACATGATTTTAAAAATTATTCCCATGCCCAATGCCATTTCTAATCCCTTAAAATTCAATATTTCATACCAAACAGGGCCTTATGGTTATGTATTAGTAAAGCAAGGAGGAAACTCTCAGGATGGAAGAGCTGCTCTTGAAGAGCAGATGCTTGAATATGGCAAGTAGAACAATTCTCATTAAGGCAGTCTTATTGGCTCTCCCATCCTATCTCATGAAAACTACACTTCTATCGGTTGGTATTTTACATGAAATTGAGAAGCTATGCCGTGGGTTCCTTTGGGGCCAAGACACTGATAAAAGGAAAATGTACCTCATACCCTGGGAGATGGCCAAAAATATCAAAGAGGAAGGCATGTTAGGCATCAAAGACTTAAGTAGTCAGGACAAAGCTTTTATCATGAAACTCAGCTGGGGCATTATGACCAAACCGAAGGCTTTATGGGTTCATTGTTTGAGAAAGAAGTATAATTGTGGTGATGGTTTAATACCCCAGATTCATAAAAAAAGAAACTCTTCCAGTACTTGGAGAGTGGTTTGCTCAGTATGGGAAGATTTCAAGAGCGGCATTGGGAAGACTGTCAAGAATGGCCGATCTACTATATGTTGATGGGATCCATGGACACCATCAGAGAAACCCCTCATTTTCTATGCAAATCATAATTTGCATGAAATTCAGCCTCAGGACTTGGTCTGTTATTATATCCTTCCAAGTGGTCAATGGAACAAAGAGGCGTGGCTCAGATTTCTCCCTCCTTGGGTGGTAAGTAAGATTACACAAATCAGACCTCCTTGCTCTGATAATGAAAACCTCCTTTGCTGGCGCCATACTAAAGATGGCCTTTTGTGTTAAGTCAGCTTATAAGATGTGTTTTGGTGGTACTAGATGTAACTATGACCCGTTCTGGAAAAAGGTGTGGAGATGGCTAGTTCTGGAAAAAGTGAAATTATTCCTTTAGCAAGCTGTTCATGAGAGTTTGATTACTAATTCCCTAAGAGCTATGAGAGAGCTTACCATAATCCTCTTTGTCCTTTTGAATGTGTGAGTGAAGAGAGTGTCATACACATTTTGAGAGACTGCCATTTGGCACGAGAGGTGTGGGCTCTTATCATTTCTCCTAACCTTTTATCTTCTATTTTTGAATCCCCCTTACAGGTTTGGATGCGAAAGAATGCGAAACATAACCTTGCTAACTCATACTTTCATTGCTGGCCTTGGAGAAGGGTGTTTGGTAGCTTTTGTTGAATCCTTTGGAAAACAAGATGTCAAAGATAATGTTTGAGAATATTTCTATATCAGTAAATGCTCTTTATCCACTCAGGAATACTTTATCTAATGGGAGTGGCAAATACAGGAATGCCTTATTTCAGGATGCGACGACTCATCATGTGCAATCGACTAGACCACCTGTAGACTATATTCGAATAGATGTGGATGCTTTGGTAAGATCCCCTGCACAAATTGCTTGTAGTGATGTAATATGTGATCGTGAAGGGGAGTGGGTACTTGGGTTCTAGAAATTGCTTCAACCAATAAGAACAACATTTGTAGAAAATCTGGGCGATAAAAACTGGACTTGACGTTTGTAAACAAAGAGGTTTTGATAAAATCTTCCTGTTTACTGACTCGCTGGGGGCTTTGAACTGTTTAATCAGGGACTGGGGCGTTAATCATGTCGAAGCTAGCTTGATTAGTGATACTTGCAATAGGATATATGATGATTGGGATATAGAGGTTAATTTTTGTCACAGGGAAATTTTAAGGAGTGCAGATTTTATGGCTCGAACAGCACACTACAATTCTGCAGATTTCAAAATTGTTTCAGAAGTCCCCATCCAATGCGCCAATCTGATTTTAGAAGACAAGGTCAACAGTGGACTGAACCAGGGCTCTTTGCCTTAACTTTGATATTTGTCAAGCTTTGCTTGCCGCTGTAATTTTTAAAAAAAGTAGTGGTGACATTTTATCCGGTCGTTTCGTTTTTTCCCCCTTTGGGATAAGGGGGGTTTTCTCATCACGCTGGACCTATCTATTTCTAGACCGCTTGATTTTGGACCGCTCGGCCCATTTTAAAAAATTGCAATTTACAACCAGTTTTGTTTCTCTGCAAGGTTGTCGGAACTTGGAATACCAAATTCGAAAATCTAATCCACAAACAGCCTCTCATCTTACTCCACTCATCACACGCCACATGGAGCGTACAATCAGTTCTCTGTTTTCTTTTCCAATTTCCGTATAGGTTAGGATTACCAGACGGTGAACATGCGGTCCAACTCATCTCCGTACTACCAACCGAACTTAAACGCGTATCCCAGCGCATCGACGGCTGGGAATCTTCCACGTCGTCCTATTAACCTTAATTTGATAATTTCTACTCTCTCTCTCTTTATGTTTCTACTTTTATTTCCCTTGAAAAGTAAAAATGCTTTTCCGTTCGGCTCACTAGTCACGAAAAATGACCATGCTTTCGTTCCCGGATTGAGACGGAGGCATCCATGTAGTTCGAATTTGTTTCCTCAGGGACAGATAGAGAAGAAGAAGAGCCATCCTTCAGTTTTTTGGGTTAACTTTCCTGCTAATTTTCTCGGGAAAATTTTCTGCCCGGAAATATGGGAGAGCCTTTCTTTGATCTCATGGAGTTTTTGAAGAAACCCTCAATAACCGAGACATTAGTCGACATTCTGCTATGTGCAGTCCCGATTTGGCTCGCCGTCATGATCGGCATGCTCATCGGCTGGTCATGGAGGCCCCGGTGGACGGGAATCGTGTTCCTCGGTCTCCGTGGTAAGTTTCGGTTCCTCTGGACGGCTCCACCGGGCTTTGGCGCTCGGAGGTTATGGTTGGCATTTACAGCGCTGTCTGCGTTCTCCATTTGCCGCACAATTTGGTCCAATTTCAAGCGGAAGGGCAAAGGACAAACTGCATGGCCACCGGAACAGGAGAATGTAGCGGCGGCAATGCCCAAGTTTGGAGAGGGAAGCGTTGAGGCTGCTGGGTAGGTGTTCTTTTTTCTGTCTTTTCTGATTGATTTTTCATCAAAAATATTATGTCGTGGACATGAGTTCCGCGTAATTGAATTTTTGGTTTGAGCTTTGAGGAATGTGTTTTGTTTTAAAAAAGCCTATTTTTACCTACGGTTCAGCCTGTCGATCAATGTGGGAACAACAGCGCAGGTATTATTGATTAAGTCGGTGTCTTCCATAATCTGAGTGTCGGTGGCTGATAAATGATTCGGAGAGGTTGAACGAAGTACACATGTATTGATGAACTGGCCATTGTGGTCGAGCTCGTATTTTGGTTGATGAAGCCCCTACTTTTATTTTTGAAATTGCGAATGCTCTTTCGTGTAGCGGTGAAGGATGGTTTCTATGCTAAATTGAATTATTCTGATGGCTAAAATTTGTTTAATGTTGAAGTTGAATGAACATGTGGATGCGTCATTAAATAATTTCCTTGCTCTATTCTCAAATCACCGATAGTCTTTTTTTTTTCTACCAGACTAGAGTCCCGTGTTTTATTCGTGCCTGGTGCCACGTTGACTATGAATAAAAGTCTGGAATTGGATTAATAACTTCTACAAGTCCTACCTCTAAACCCGAGTAGTAAAGCTTGGCAAACATTGGAAATTACCGCATGCCGCGCTGTTGTGTTCCAGTCAGTCTGTTGTGTCATAATTTGTCCTTCAATACAAATCTCTGCTTCTTTCTATCTGTGTGGCAGATATCAATCATATTATGGACTAGTACGATTCACTTTTATTTTTTTTTTAAATATTCATTTTGGATTGGAAGTTAACTGCCCGAAACCTAATGGAATAGTGTCTTGCAATTGTATTACTTGTGAAAGAAGCGGGTGTTTAATTCTTTTATCTTTGTTGTTGATTATATCTGCTCATAATTAGCATGCTTATATGTTTTGAATTTTGATTGATTACTTGAGGAGGGATGGAGTGTTCTATTCTTGTTAAATATGGGTTGGGACATTTTCATTAGGTCCTCTGTTAAATCTTGGGAGAAAGAGCAGGATGTTACTGAGGCTGATTTGGAGCATCTCCTTCATCTTTTTGAAGGGAAAGATGGAGTGATGGACTGGCAAAGTTTGATGGAGAGGTCAACACCGAACATGGCTTACCAAGCTTGGCGTCATGAACCTGAGGTTGGTGCTGGGTTTCAATATTTGTTTCATTTAATTCCTTTATACGATCAGATACAAACATACATCACCTGTATTAATGGTGAGAAATTTTGTGCGCTTTTTATGAGACACCTTTTCCTCCTTGTTGAAAAATGGATTGATAACCATTCTTTTGTGTTTGAGTTTCAAAGTCTGTTAGCTGTTTTTAATTTACTTCTGTGCAGTTTTAAGCTAAAATTATATTAGCAGCTGATGTTGAATTTGTTATCAGACTGGTCCTACAGTTTACCGCAGTAGAACTGTCTTTGAAGATGCAACACCTGAGCTGGTCCGGGATTTCTTCTGGGATGATGACTTCCGCCCTAAATGGGATCCTATGCTGGCATACTGCAATGTATTGAAGGACTCTTCTCATACAGGGACAATGATTGTTCACTGGATTAAAAAGGTACCTGGGCCAAAGATCAAAGGAACTTACTGCTTTTAATTGCTTATGGCATATTGTTTACTCATGCCTCATTTGTTCAACCAATCTGCAGTTCCCCTTTTTCTGTAGTGATCGAGAATATGTTATTGCTCGAAGAATATGGGAGGCTGGAAATTCATACTATTGTGTGACAAAGGTACTGGTTAAACTATCATTTGCCCAGTTTTTTTTTTTTTTTACCTGTGCTGATCTAATTGAGACCACGTTAATTGAAACTTTTTGTGATATGGGTTTTAAGTTCGTGGTTACTCAACACAGGCTGTTTAGAACGTCAAAGTCATGATTAAGAGCATTGGAAGGCCATTTTCTCTCAACACATAAACTAAAACCTGGAATTGGAATGCGACTTGCACTCCTACAGTATTTAGAGTGAAATTTTGTGGTGTTAAAATAATGCTAGTGTCTATTCTTATTAAGAAAACTTGATAGTGAACTTGTATGTTTTATCGTTTTACTTGCCTTGTGCTTCTATTGTGCTGTAAACCTATTTGGTGCTAATGACAGATTAAAAAGGAAGCACGAAAACACTTAAGTGCTAGGTTTCTTACTGTTTCAGCTTCATTGTTGTAGGGGGTGCATTATCCAAGTTTACCCAAGCGAGACAAGCCCAGACGAGTAGAGCTTTATTTTTCTAGTTGGGTCATCAAACCTGGTAGGAATCGATGGCAATTTATCTTTATTGTTATCTGCTTTCGGATGTTAACATGTCCGTTAATGGTATTTCATCTTCTGAACACGTTAAAAAAAAAAAAAACTGATGCAGTGGAATCTCGCAAAGGAGATGGACAGATGTCTGCCTCTGAGGTTACCCTTTTACATTATGAAGACATGGGGATCCCCAAAGATGTTGCGAAGCTGGGTGTTCGCCATGGGATGTGGGGGGCAGTTAAGAAACTTGACTCTGGAATGAGAGCTTATCAGAATGCCAGGAAAACAGAGGCATCCTTGTCAAGATGCGCACTGAATGCGAGAATCACGACCAAGATTACTATAGACAATATGGAGTCCTCAGGGCCTTTTGTGGGGCAGGAAGAGAAGGATCAAGCCCTTAGGAATAGTAGAATGCAGGATGGTCCTGGCGTGGACTGGAAGTGGTTGGCTATTGGTGGCGCTGTTGCTCTGGTTTTGGGTATTCACGGTGGTGCTGTAGGGAAAGTATTGTTAATGGGTGCAGGGCGCAGAATTGCACGGGGCTGATTGATGGAGGATCTACGAAGCACAGATTTTATTTGCTTCCGTTTTGTAGGTTCAATATAATTGTAATATATATGACAGTATATTCATTTGTATTTGATAATGTACTTGTGCGATTTTTTTTTTCCTCTATTACATGAGTCTCTTTAGATTGATCACACCCACGTATTTAATGGCAGGCGGAGCTTTAAGGGAGAATGCCATTACGTCTCAAAGGGATCATTTTATTTCAATGAAGTACAACAAATTTCAAAAAACAGACAAAGTCTCTTGGTCTTTAATTAATTTTTTGACAAAATTTTAATCTTAGAAATTTACAACATGTTTTTTTTTTTTTTAAATTTGCAGCTCCCACTTATATCTACAACTCGGTTTCATGTTTTAATTTAAGAACAATTTGTTTTAATTGAATTTACGAAATTGTTTATTTAATTTTAAGAATTTGCAATTTACTCTTTTGAATTTACAATTTCATCTGCTACAATTTGTAACTACTTATTCAAATTTTATTTGTGAACACGATCTCAATATTTATTTTTTTATGAGAAATTATTTATTTATTTTTAAAATTTTGCAACTTACTCTATAGTTTGTAATTTCATTTACCTTAGTTTGCAATTCAAGTTTCAAATTTTATATAAAAATGCAAGATTTTAACTTTGAATTTATAGTGTTATTTTGTAAGCTAAAGGCATTTGCAGCTTACTTTCTCATATTTACAACTTTATATCTCAATTTTATTTAAAAAAATGATAATAAAATTTTTCTGAAATATAAAAATGATAATTTGATCTTTCAAAATATCATAATTTTTTTGAAGTCTTTAAGAATATTTTTATTATCAATAAATTTATATAAATTATCAAATTATCCTTATTAAAAATAAATGATTCATAAATTGTGTTTAAATATTTATAACTTTTCTTCTTATATTCACAACAATGTAACAATAAATTATTATTTGCCATGTTAAATTTTTTATTTGCTATAGCATTGTTGCGAAAATAAGAAAAAAATTTGTGAATATTTAAACAAAATTTATTAATCATTTATTTTTAATAAAAGTAATTTAATAATTTATATAAATTCATTAATGATAGAAAAGTCTTTAGGAACTTCAGAAAAATTATGGCATTTTGAGGGATCAAATTGACATTTATATATTTAAGAGGAATTTTATTATCATAGTTCCTTTTATTTATGAACATAAAATTTTTAATGTTAACTTTATTTAAGAAATTTTTTTATGAATTTCTAAATAATATTTGAAACTAAAGTTATAAACTAAGGTAAATGAAAGTGCATACTAGGTAAAGTAGATTGCAAATTCTTGGAATTGAACAAAAAATTTCTTATAAGAAAAATAAATATTGAGATTGGCTTCATAAATAAAATTGGGATATAGAGTTGTAAATTATAGTAGATAAAATTTCAAATTCGAAAGAATAAGTTTAAAATTCTTGGAACTGAATAAGCAATCTTATAAAATTGTGTTTTTTATTAAAAAAATTTGTGTTCTTAAATTAAATTAGAAAACTGAGTTGCAAATCAAAATAGAACGAATTGCAAATTTTAAAAAATAGGTTACAAACATAAAAGTTTAAAATTTACAATTAAGGATTAAGGAATTTCCTTTATATTTTGAATTTTGTTGGAACTTTACTGAAATAAAATGGTTTAATTGAGACTTAAGTGTCATTCTCCTAAACTTTAATTCAGTGCATCCAAACAAGGACTCCTATTCATGCAAGATGTTTGCGAGAGTTTTGTCCAACAATTACAAGACTAATACTATATATAATATAGTAAGTAATGTTGGACGATGAAGGGAGAAGAAAATAAAAAGGAGATGGTAAAGATGAGAATGGGAAATGAACTTTACCTAGGCCTAAAAAAAAAAACCAAAATTAATTATGATTATATGTGAAGAAAAGTTAGCACGACATTCATTAAGAATAAAATAATAAAAAATTGTAGTTGGCCTTTAGAGATGTTTGGTAAAAAAAGTTTTTTTAAAAAATAAAAATAAAAAACATCCATTACTCAAGAGAATAACAAAACATCCAGATTAAAAAGCTAACTCAATAACTTCTCTTCATCTGTCACCTTCTTACAGCAAGGTGGTAGTTGATCAAAAACATACGTAATACTAATTCAGTCAGATATATTAATAACTAAATAATGAACACAAAAATTGGTTTCCCTATACATGAAGTCTATAGTTATGTACCAATCCCTATACAAATTACATCTAGCATGGTTAATCATATTGCTATAAGGGTGAACGTCATTAACATTCCTCGTGAGCAGGTTAATGGCTTGTACACAATCACTGTAAACTTGTACTTTTAGATGCCTTGCATTCCAACATATTTGGAGACCATACGAAATAGCCATCACCTCAGTGATAGCTGGTGGAAGATTACCAACTCTAGCATTAAAGCCCACTATCCAATTGGCATTACTATCTCAAACAATGCCTCCACATTTACTATTCCCGTTTTTAACATATCCATCACCATCCAAGCTCACTGTGTCATTTGAAGGTCTAAACCACTTGCTTTGCCATCTTCCTTCCTGTATCTTGAGGCTGTTAGAGGTATTTAGGAGGCTGAGATCCGAGCTTGCCTTATGTAACGAAGCAAGTCCCGACCCCACCATCTCATCCTCTTCATCAGAGAAAGCCTTTTTGCAGCTAAAGCACCAAATATCCCAACACACGTATCTAAACAATATATCCCAGGTTACCTGTTTTGTGAAATCTTTCCTAGCTGTTTTGTTAAAGTTCCAACAAATCCACTCCTCTCTACGCAGGTTCTTGAAGGTTGTCCAGAGTTTTGGTTTGACTATCTCTCTACGCCGTTGCCTTGCATGAGGGCAATCTTGTAATAGGTGCAAAACATCCTCTTTAGCTCTGGATCCTAGGGGGCATCGATCTAAATCTAGTAACCCACATTTGGCTTGGAGCTTTGCGGTGTGCACTCCATCATTTGCAATCAGACAAAAAAGAACTTCGATCTTTTCTGGTCCGCCACTAGAATGAGTACCTGTAAAGAGGAAGTCATAGCTAAATATAACACTAAAATTCCCATCGTTTGAAGGTTTCTAAATAAAACAATCCTCTCCTCTTTCAGCTCTCCAAATAAAACAATAAGAAAAGTTAAGGGATAATCTTGTAAAAAGATGTAAAAGACGTTTGAAAATGGAACAAGATTACTTGATAAATACACTACCTAATAAATTAGTTTTTGGCATAAATAAATGGCATCATGTGATGCAGATAATGACTCTATTTAATGAGATAAATACACTACCTAATAAGTTATTTTTTGGCATAAATAAATGGCATCATGTGATGCAGATAATGACTCTATTTAATGAGATAAAGCTTATCATCATTGTTGTAACAAAATTAGATCTGGTTTAACGTAGTCAATTATAAAAGATGATTATCTTATTCTACTTTTACAATTCACAAGGAAGTCGAGTTTTCAACGGTGCAGTAACATCAGATTTGATCCAAAATCAAATATGCTGTTATCACAGACAATGATGGGTTTCGATTCGTTGATTAAAAATAATATAAATCAGATAGGATCAAAATCATTGCAAATCATAAAAGTGAATAACGATATTCTAATTTTTACTCTTCGCGTTTTATTTGAGTTTTCAATACTGTAGTAAAATCAGATTCGATGGAGTTTAATGCAAGAATTTAAAAGAAATCAAGAGCAACACAAAATCAAAGGATTAAGCGAGCATAAAAAGCTGGAGAGGTGTAGAAGAAGGCAAGAGGCGGGGTGGAGATACGTAGGAGGCTAAATACATTCTAGGTTGGATTGTGCTGGGCATTCTCGTCGCACGTTTGTGCATTGTTCATGCATCTTCTCCTTCGTCCGAGTCAGAGGTGGCTTTTCTGCAACTTCGAGTTCATCATCAGAAGTTTGTTTGGTAGGTTCAAATAACTGACTTGCTATTAATGCTCCAGCGACCATAATTGACAAGTAAAACTAAACGTAGATTCAGCTTATGTGAAAACAGAGTTCAAAGTGCAAAACATGCACAATGGAAAAAAAAAGAAGAAGAAGAAATGTTTGGTTTTTTTTTAGGATTAAGGTGAAAAAATATCCATAAATTTTTTTTTTCTAAAAGCTTTTTAGTACCTATTAATTTTATAAAGGAAGCCAACGTTCTTCAATTTATTTTATTAATATAAAGAAGGCTAAAGTTATAAATCTTTCGGGTATTTTTTCAACAATTTTTTTTTTTTACAAAACTATCATTTAAAGCTTCCAAAATGATTGTGGAACTTGTCCAAACTAGCATATAATCAATATCATCCATTTCCATATTAATATAAAAATATTACATTTACCATAAATTTCATTATTTACAAATGTACGTTATACAATTTATTTTTCCTAACTTTATGTCAAACTCTTTCCTGTCTTAATTAAAATGTATCTTCAAGAAAACTCTCTCAACTCATAACATAAAGTGTTATGTGATATATTATTGGATGATTTTCTATTTTGGGAAAATTCATTAAAGGACAAGGGGTGTAATATTATTTCGCCCAAATGAATCTGAAATGTAGCTAAAGGTTTGGAGGACTGAAATAAAATTGGTTAGTGAAACGACAAAAAAGCCTTCAGTATAGACCATAAAAAAGCAAATTATAATTATATTTTATCGTTTCAGCTTCGATTAAAAATTTCACCAATGCAAGTGGGAGATGAACTCCAGAAACAGAAACAAAGGGATAAGATTATAAGAATCTCAACATGAGAATTAAAACAGCTTGAGAAACGTGCAGGGAGCAGCGCACAATAGAATCAACAACGAATAGTACCTTGTAATTTAGAAGCTGCGACTGCAATTTACCAGCATAGAATTCATTATTATTTATTAGGTTACAAAACTTTGCTTATTAATTAAATATACTGATTATTCGAGTGGCGCATACACTATACGATCGCAAGCGAGATTAGCCGATGAGAAGCGCTTGACTTGAGACGAAGCTGCGGCCTCCGACACCAATGCTTGAACGAGCAGCGTCTTGACCTGCCAACGTCTGTGCGGGAACCCCTCCCTCGTGTACGATTTCAGCAGTGCCGTGCTCGCCTCCTTCA